GAGCCGTGTGAGGGACGTTTTATTACGGATGCGCGCACTTTATTTCACGTCTTCTGAACTGTTGACAACCAACACCCGTTTTCCCCCATAGAAGGGAATAGGCTTGGAATAGCCAGGACAGTTTTAATATAACTCCGATTGGATTCGTCTGAAAGAAGAAAGCTCTTTTACTCTTACTCAAGTAGTTTTTTGGACAAGTACTTTTACTCTACTCGCACTACATTTTTTGGAAGGTAATGGTACTTTTACTTGAGTATATTTTTTCAGTACTCTTTCCACCACTGCATAAACCTAGGATGCTTTGAGGGTGAGTAAAACACAGACTAATTTTCATTTTTGGGTGAACTAACCCTTTAAGGGCACCTCAGTCATGGGTATTGAACATGGACAGTTCCCACCGGTACTGAGACTAGAACTTGCGACCTTCGATTACAAGTCTGACTCTCTAACCATTAGGCCACAACTGCCCCTATTTTACAGTAAAATAGTCAAAACATTTTATAGTAGAAGGCAGTTTTTTATTGCAATGTTACACAATATTAGTGTTTTTACTGTATATTTGATCAAATTCAGCTTTGGCGAGCATAAGAGACATCTTTCGAAAAATGTGAATTTTTTTTTAAACTAATAATACAATAATAATATAAAAATGTAGGATATATTTGCGGCGTTTTTAGGGTGTCTGATATATACTGTTAAAATAAATTTGTATGAAATTACTCATACTGTAATTTAAAGTTTAAGGTCATACCACCCACCCCTAGAGTGAATTAGTAACATCTGTACCTGTTCTGTTCTGTGATGTTTTGTTTTGATTCATCTTTATTCAGATGCTCCTCCTCCGACCTGGGAGCAGCTGGCGAAGGGGCTGGTGGGGGTAAAGACTGTGGTGCACGGCCTAGTGGACTTCATCCAGAACCACAGCAAAAAGGGTGCCGACACGCAGCAGCCTCCACAGCACAGCAAATACAAGACGTACATGTGCAGAGACATGAAACAGAAAGGAGGCTGTCCCAGAGGAGCTAGCTGCACCTTCGCCCATTCTCAGGAGGAGCTGGAAAAGTGAGTGCCCTTGTAACATCTTGCATATCTGGATAGTGTTAAACCAAAATTTCATTACACCAAATACACAAAATACTGTTCTTTTTAGCAGCATCATATGACCCCTTTAACAATCAGAATCTCATTTGCTGTTCGCTCTGCAGGTACCGTAAAATGAACAAACGTCTTGCTGCACGAGTGCCCTGCACCCCTGGCCTGCTGCCTGAGGAGGTGGTCCCACTGGAGCCTGGGCGAAAGGCCTCTACACTTACCAACGGGGCCCCTCTTCCCCAGCTCATCCCCAGAGGCACAGACCCCTCAACATATGACCTCTTACTCAAGCCCAAGATGGACGCCATTAGCCGGAGCGCTCCTGGGTCACCACCCGACACGTAAGCCTTTGCTTCTCAGTTTAACTTCTAGTTCCCTGCTTTTCTGTCAGTATCTGAATTGTTTTGACTGCAAGACCAACAGCAAAAGTGCTGAGATAGTGAGAAGTGCTTAATGGGTTTGGCTTTAACGGGAAGGAACAACGTAATTTAGCACCGACTCATTTCTGCCTCTTGTCTCTCTTAAGTTTGGATAAATCTAGCTTGGCCCTGACATCCCACCCTGTGCCTCACCCCAGGGCAGAGCACTTACCCATGCTCAAGCAGGTGTCAGTCATGCCCAGAGGTGCACCACAGATGTATCCACAACAGCAGCCCGAGCTCTTCTATCCAGAGCCCACCAGACCTCCTCCCTCAGGATCTCAGTATGATGCTCAGTATCCAACAGGTGATTGGATTTGCTCATATGGATGGTTTCTGGTTGTGAAAGTCTTCTGCTCTCAAGATTCTTGGAGCTCTTTAATGCCATCTAATACTGTGTCCTAACCAGGTCATTTAAAAAAAGGTGTAAAAGATGAATGCTGGGTATTGCCGACCAACCGATTTAAATAAACTAGGCTAATTTGTTAACATGTATGCTAAATAATTAACTTGAATATATCAGTTGATGTTTGTCTTAGCTTGGTGTTACTGAATAGCTGTAGATTTTTGTTGAGGGAATTAGGTCTATTTTTAATTTTCAGTTTAACTGCAGATTTATTATTTGTATTAACAGATAAAACAATAAAATGCTAAAAACTGAAAAGTGAATTCAGGCAATCGCAACATTATAATGTAAATAATGAATAATGGATATTCATTTAGAGATTTGCTTAAGGGGATAGTTCACCGAGAAAAAAAATGAATAAATTGCTGATAATTTACTCACCCTTAGGACAATCAAGATGTAAGTAACAGCATTTGACAGTGCAAGCGCAAATCTTCTTAATTGGCCTATTTTCTTTGCAGTGTGAAAGTAGATTAAAACAACTCTTGACGGCATGCAAACACTCGTGACAGTCTAAATCAATGTTTTGTCAGCCATTCATTCAAATCAAAATATTTATTACACCAATTTTTTTAACTGAATATTAGTCTTGGTGTGTCATAATGCTCATAACCTTTGTGTTCTTACAGGCAACCCCTACCCATACCAACCTCCACCGTATGTCCCTCCCCGCTATATACGTAATCCGCCTCCCCCAGGCGAGTCTGCAGTGCCACCTTACCCAGAGCCCTACCCGGGTTACATCCCAGATCGCCAATATCCAAGCCACCACTCTGGTCCCCCTTTCTCATCCCACACATATGCACCAGCCTCCCATTACAGTCGCAGACATGGACACTATCCTGTACCCCCACCTCAGTTTGCCCCGCCCAGAGACGACTTGGTCAGGATGAGCCCAGTTCCTCTGGACATTCCACCAGCCGCTATGCCTCCACCTCCAGCAGGGGCTGCAGGTTCTCTGTACCACCCCCAGGAAGCGTCATCCAGAGACAGATACCCACCGGAGGGGTACTATCCTCCTGGACCGCACCCCAGCCAAATGCGGTCCCACATAGGAGTGAGTTCTGTTCTACTTGAGGTTTTTGCATGCTAAACAGTAGTTCCCCTTGCTTGATATACATGCCTATAACATTTGTTGTTTACAAATAAGTTTTATTTAATGAACATGATTTTAGTATTATGTTTAGTGATCAAACAGGAATTGTGTGCGTTCAAAAAGAACAATAAGTTTCCAGGTGCGTAGAACAAAAGGGAGAAAGTTTTCGTCCAACAAGTCGCTGAATTAGTCCGCACACTGAAATTTTTTTTCCAATCAGACCAAAAAAGTTATAAAATAGTTTTTATTTTCCATATGCAAGGAGTGAAAAAAGTGGCAAAGTGTATTAAAAACAGACCAAAGAGCAGACGTTTCAGCCCATGCTTTCTTCAGTGCTCATAAGGCAAAAAAAAAAAGCAACAGCACACTTATATAGGCACAATTGCAAATTGTTGACAGCTGATCTTAATCAATGAGGGATAATTGTCATGCCAACAATTTCCCTTTACAAAAAAACATGCAAGATCCATCTCTTCATTTAATCCAGTCGGGTTTAATATTATGTTTAGTATAATATTTATTGCTATTTTTCCAACACATTGACTTTTTAATATAATTAATACAAAAAATATAACTTGAAGTTCTTAATAGCTTTTATTTGAATTTTTACAGCTTCCAAGAAAACAATATAGTAACGTATTATCATTATTATATGATGTATGGATGTGTGTGCGCGCTCAGGTCCTTTGAATAATGTTAGCAGATTTAAATTTTTTATTCTAGTAATGGATAAATAAATGCTGACATTAGGGATGGGTACCGAAACCCGGTATTTAATCGGTCCCCGGGGCTAAATTATGAAAAACCGGAGTATCGATAAGCTCTGACGTTAACGGTTCTGCTATCGGTACTGGAGAAATTAAGAAAACACACATACATTTATTATTGCTATAGATACATTGTCTTGCAAATTCTGTCTCACCAGAGTCGCCAGCTGTTTTTATATGCAATAATATTCAAACATTTGTCTATGATGCCTTTTTGCTATTCGCAACTCAGAAGCGAGATCGCGCTCGTGCGGAGGAGCTTCAGCACGCGCAACATGAAAGCCCTGCTTAATTATGATAGAGGAGAGAACTAAACATTCAAACGTCTGCTTTAGGCATGGGCCGGTATGAGATTCTGACGGTATGATAACCTTCGATAAAAATATCACGGTATTGCGATTACAGCTCTAAATGTCACACACACACACGCGCGCGGTCTCTCCGTACAACACTCAAACAGTGGCAATTTTATTTTATTTTTTTTTAATGCGTGATTTTGAACAGATGTAAACAATGGCAGGAGGCTTAAGTATAGACGTGATACCAGTTAAATTTAATTATTGTACTAAATCGCAGAAAAGTAGGCTACAGTACGTACTTTAGACTGCTATTACTCACTCTGTGAAGTAACGTGAGGGAGGAAACTAGTTGACGTTAGCTAGTTAATTAGCCATGTCATTTCAGAATATAAATATATATATATAAACAAAAAGTACCGATAAGAATACCGTTAAAGTACCGAATCGATAAGTAGTATCGGTAAGTGTAGTAATACCGTTAAAACCTTAACGATACCCATCCCTAGCTGACATTAACATTAAATGAAATTACTAGGATTAATAAATGCTTTAAAATAGGGCTGCAACAACTAATCGATAAAATCGATAATGAAAATAATAGACAACGAATGTCATTATCGATTAGTCGTGTATACCCGCCGCGCACAGAAAACTTCCGCCAGTCACGTCAAATTAAAGCAGTGAATAACGCATTTCTATGGACGAATGCATCTAAAAATAGCGGATGAATCAGAGTGAGCTGCTGCGGGAAAGATGCGTGATCCAAGCTGCCCGAAACATGAGAATGCTTTATTTTAAACTTCAAGCTAATGCATTAGTGTGATGTTTAACACGGCTTGCCCTGCCAGGCGCTTTGACAGATGCATGTGCTGTTTAATGTGTGAGATATGTTTCCTCAGCGCATAAACTGCATTTTACGGTAATATTTTTTTCTGTTAATGGTACATATTCTGGTGAATGTTTCTATTTTGCATGAAGGCTCGTCCTGACAGTCTGCGTTAAACTTCAGACTTCACTGAACGAGCGCAGAGGCGTGCATGTGCGTCAAACAGACAGAACACAGTAAAGAGGGAGAAAATAAGTATTCAGTGCAATAATATTAATTTTGCTGATATATTTGTTATTGGACGTTAAATTTAGGTTTAAAAGTCAACATGTAATTCAAGTATGTTATGATAGTAACTGTAAAGGGATAACAGAGTGTGATTGAATATAAATGTAAGATGTTTCTTACATTTACAGAATAAAGAAATGACAGTAAGCGGTTACTGTGTTCAGAGTGAATGTGTGTGTGTGTTCCAGCAGAACATTCCTCTTATCTGTTAACACGGAGTTTGTATTTTTCTTTACTATCTTCATCATTATTATTTCCATTTTTAATTTAGGGAATTAAACTGTCCTTTGTCTGTTTAAACTGTCCATTTAAACTGTGCTTTATAACTCTTTTACACATAATGTATAGCATAGAGATATATTCACCATACAGTATGTTTTCATAGCATTCAGTTGGTACATTTGTTTGAAGGACAGCATTGGGCAGGATGTGAAATAGTGTGTTTTGTCAATTTAAAAAAAAGAGGCTTTTTATACGATTAATCAAAAAAATAATCAGCCAAATTAGGGCTGGGCGATATAGCTAAAAATGTATCAACGATAGGGCTGCACGATAAATCGCATGCGATATTTAATGCGCATCTTGTCAGAAAGCCGGTTCTGTAATCAGCGGTAAATCTCCATCACGTGCGGGCTTTCACATTGAGCAGCATTAACTACACAGAGCCGGTGTTCACTGACGAGCTGCGCATAAAATCGTGCGAATATGAACGTGGTTTTGTTTCAAATGCAAATGTTTATTTTAAATTCGACTAATATTCATTCTTTATTCACAATCTCTTCATCACAGGCAGGCACAGCACTCATTTCAGCATGTGTTCGTATTTGTGTGTGCTGTCTGCGTCACTCATAGTACGTGCCTATATCGAGCAATTTTTCTATCGATATCGAAGGTGTAACGTCGATAAATATCGATACCGTTTTATCGCCCAGGCCTAGGCCAAATAATCGATTATCAAAATCTATATAGCAGCCCTACTTTAGAACTATCTTTTATTGTTAGTTAATTTGAACTAATGTTAACATATGGAAACATGCTGTAAATTTAGACCATTTTAAGAGCCAGTACCTCCCGTTTTTATATCAAGTCACTTGACTTGAGTACTTGTTGCATCTTAACCAACTCAAGTCAGTTTATCAATGTTAGTTCCCCAACCTGATTTATATGTTCTCCCCCAGCAGGACCCGTACAGCCGCTCTCAGCCCAGTCTGGATGACTTGCATCGCAGGCGCAAAGAGCTGCTTGTCCAGCTAGAGGAGAGAAAAGTCATCTCTCCTCCCCCCTTTGCTGCCTCCCCGACTCTCCCTACACACCCGTTCCCCAACGACTACCCTCGGGAGGTGAGTCCTGAACAACATCCTGCTGTCCTTCATGGATCATGAATATAGTGCTCAACATTGCTCTTTTTCATGTTTGAATTCTGAATGTCTGCAGTATTTGGAGGACGGCTCTAAAGCCTTTGGAAGTCGGGAGCCGGACTACGCTGGGCAGTATTCCCCCTGGTCATGTGACACCATAGGATCATACATTGGCTCCAAGGATGCTAAACCAAAAGATGTCAGTAGTGCTGTGGAGATGATGGCAAGTGATCTAGCTCATGCTTTGTGTTTCTGTACATCAGATAAGACTATCAATAACAGAGGTTTTATTTGTCGTTTCCTTCCTGTACTGTCCTACAACAGAATGCAGAGGGGAAAGTTCTCCGTGAACCTCCACTGGACACCCAGCGGCGCTCTGCAGAAGCCAAAGACGACGATCCCATCATTCCCTTTGGTCCTCTGCCCACAGTGTCTCCTTTTGGTGCCATTTCACGTACCTCTAAAACGGGTTACCAGACCACTGTGCCTGTACAGGCCATAGCATCCTCACAGGCCTCGGGCTCCAAACACATGACCATGACAGGTGACTGGACATCTTTATAATACCTAATACTTAGTCATAAATAGGAATAGGAACTTGCCTGAAAGGTGCCATTAATAATTCTTAGTACCTTTAGTACTTTCGTGATTTGTTATAACCGATTCATTTAAAAATCTGCTCATAATTTGTTAAAGGGGTGGTTGATTGCGATTTCACTTTTTTAATGTTAGTTAGTGTGTAATGTTGCTGTTTGATCATAAACAATATCTGCAAATTTACGAAGCTGAAAGTTCAATGCAAACGGAGATATCGTCTTTTAAAATTCTGGCAGTTTAATGCCTACAAAAACGACTGGTAAGGGACTACAACGAGTTACTTCCCAGGTCCGTTACGTCAAGAACCCAGAATTTTACATAAACCCTGCCTCCGGGAACACGCAGCAAAGGGGGCGAGGCGATGCTGCTGCTTTAGAGAAGAGGAAGAGAAAACTAGGGGTGCATGTAAAAATCTATATATATATGAATCGCGATTCTGTCTTCTAACGATTCTAATGGATTCACAAGTTTCAAAATTAATGTTCTAAAGCAGCGTTCTCATCCTGTTCCTGGCCTCGCCCTGCTCTGCACACGCTCTTTAATCTCTCTCTCTCTCTCTCTCTCTCTCTCATTCAGTGAACACACTTATTT